TTATTTTTAGATTGTTCCAAAGATTTATTTAATCTTAATTTGACAGCAGCACATTTATTTCTTCAAGCTTTGTAGAAAATCCTAAAATGGAGGCATCTTCCTAAGAAATGGAGGGGATTAGCAAAACTGCTTAGACAAAGTTTTAAAAGAAGTAAACAGAATGATATATGGAGCGCAATGACTGATGAGCAGAAAATGTGCTTTCTCTAGCTGATTCAACCGCATAGGGTGACCTTGATGGCATTCTATTTATTTGCACCTCAATTTCCTACTCATCTAACCTCATCAGCTATTATGAAAGGTGAGGAAGACTGCTTTAAAACACCACAAAGTATATCAATTAGCAATATTTTGTCATTTAGGTTCAATTCCTTTAACCTTGTTTGTGTCTCCATTATTCTGACTTTAAATTCTGTTTACAACTACAAATCTGATCTACTATATTTCCCCATTGATGTTTACCAATTTTTTTCTTTTTTAAAAACAGGATCAGGGAAACACAAAAGAATCAATCACATTTAAAAGTACATATGACCCCCTAAGCTCTGAAGCTTGAGATTCACACAAAAGCTGCAGGCTCAGGAAAGAGAGAGGAATTTAGATTACACTTTAACCCCAAATACACCCTTTGAGTTCTGACCTCTCTCCCGTCTTAAACTCCAACTGCCTTTTGGATGTCAAGTTGCTAAGTTACCTCACAACAAATTCACTGTCAACTGCTTCTTCTCTCTTAAAACTATTATGTTGGTAAATGATATCGTTTATCTAAGATACTCCAAAATTAACACCCTCAATTTCTCCACCTTTTTCATTTCCTATATCTCATTGTTTATAAGTTCAACCAGTGCTTGTCATGTCCATTCCTCCCTTTAAATTGCTCCCAGCACTGCCTATCCTCTCTCACCTGGCCCATAATTATAGCCTCCTAAACAATCTCCCTGTTCTCCATCTCAGTCCTCTACACTATGCCTCCAAAACTATCCTTCCAGAAATCCAGATAGGCTCATGTTGCTCCCCTCCACAAAAATCTTCAAAAAATTCAGTCAACCTGAAAATAAGCTAGGACCACCCTATATAAAGCACCGATAACCCCATTCCCAATCCCCCTTAACCTGCTTTATCTTTTAATGACAGTACGTTCGGCCGTCTAGATACTCTGCCTCCTGCCACTAGAATGAGTGCATGGACATTATTTGCTGTCTGGTGTGTTCTCTGCTATATCCCTAGCTCCTAGAACAGCGTCTGTCACAGATGAAGCAGTCAATCAATATTTGATAAATGAATTAACTTAGCAAAGCATTCAAGATCCTTTATTACCAGTCACTCAACTTCCTTCCCAGCTTCATCTCCCACAACTGCTTCCATCTCTAAAATGCCCTTATCCAAATCTACCACAATCCCTCCTCATTCATCAAGGCTGTTTGGACGCCACCTCCTCCTGGAAGCCTTCTGTAAATGTACCTGAATTAATGACTCTTTCCTCCAGGATCGCATACCACATCACTTGTATCTTTAACAGTCAGTTCCTTTACATTACCACCAGTCTAGGGCATCTGGAGGGCAGAAACCTTTTACTCGACTTTGTAGCCCTAGGAAGTAGTTCAATATATAGTCACTGCTTAGCAAAGACTATGCAAAACTGAGCATGTGGCCTCTTAAATCCTTTTTAAAAAATGAGAAGCTTTGGGCTGACCGAGTGGCGCGATGGTTAAGAGCTGGCTTGGGACGCCAGCGGCCCCCGGTTCAGATCCCACATATGAGGGCCAGTGACACTGCCCTCTACAAAAAAAAAAAAAGAGAGAAGCTTCTATGAAAAAGGGCAGTTTGGGTGTCTAGTGTCTGGCACTTGGTAGGAACTCAGTTAATATTTACTAAATCAAGTTGAATATTGAGATATCTTTCTGCTCATTAAAGAAGTGAATAGTCCTAGAAGAGTCAATATTTCAGGCAAAATCTTATCAGTTTACCTTACTGTGAATTAGATATTATATCCTCTCCTTTGGGTAGGTTTTGATACTATAGGAGGGGAGAAGAGAGAATAAGCACACTGGGCAGGGGTGGAGGAGGGGGGCAGAGGTGGCTTTGAAGGGGAAACGCCCACTGTCTTGGTTGCAACTAGTAATAACAACACGTTCCCTACCCCTTTCCACAAGAACCCAGAGCATTATAAACTGGAAACGCCAGTCAGTGACAGGCACCTAAAAACCTTCAGTAACTCTAATACTTCAATCCTGAGGCCTTTGGTCATTACTGCTCAAAAGGTAAAAATCAAAACCAGAGTCGATGTGCAGTGTGTGATGCAGTATATCCAAAAGTTTCCCTCAGATCTCAAGCCAGTCCCGAAAAAGCGGATGCTCTATATGAACTCTCCAAAAGGCTCCAAGAGTTCTCAGCTAACTCCAGTAAGGACTCAAGTGAGGGGAAGGGTGTGGCCCAGAACCAATCCCCTCAATCCTGTAGCCCTTGGGCCAGCTGGCCACCCACTTCCATCTGAAAGAAAGGGACAGAATTTCTAGGTTTGTCTCAACTTTAACATAACTGTTATTATGAACACCAATTAAAAAGGCCACAAGTCCACGGGCAACCTAGCCCCTCAGGTTACCAACAATCTCTACACCACACTTAACTGATCTTAAGTTGCACTCTTTCTAAGTCTGAATGGAAGGTAGAAATGTTCATCAACATGATCAAACACTAATGTGACATTTTCTTGTGAGAACGATAATCTTATTTCACTTAAAAAAAGAAAATTCAATTTTCCTACATTTAAGCTCCGGTTACATGAATTTTCAGAAACTGAAAATGAGCATGGAGAAGAGAATGCTCTCTGTGAGCCAGCACTGACCACACTGAAGAAGCTCCAAAAAGCACTAGACCTTCCTTCTAATTGATTCCCTGGGGCAACCCCAACGCTTGAAGTTCCCAATTATTTGAGCAGCTCTGGCTTCTACAGGCATTAACACGAGTGTTCTAAAGGAATGCTAAGTCCAATTTGATAGTTTTGGGAAGTGAGGGCTGTCACTTTCATCTCTGAATCCCTCGGTGCCTTCATGACATATGCACATGCTGTTTAATTTCACCTTTTCTCAGCAAGGCAAAATATTCAGTTGTGTAAAACAGGTTAATCTCAAGCTGAATATGTAAGAGTTTACTAAAACAAACTTTTCTTGGTTAAGAACCACATAGGAACATGTAAGAGTTTACTAAAATAAACCTTTCTTGGTTAAGAACCGCATAGGAAAGTGAACATCAGAGTTTCAAGTTTCCAGTCAACTGGAATGGAATGAAAGCCCTCTCAGGATGTCTAATCCCAAATTGGCCCCAATCTATGGCATCTTTCAAGAAGTCAGTCTCCACCGGGTTCTAATCAGATCCCCCCAACCCTCCTCCTAAATTCAGGTTATCCAGCTCTCCCGGATGGTGTGGGTCCAGAGTCCATATTCCCAGGTAAGTTTAACCTTCTTAAGTAAAGGTCAGGAGTATGAATGGGTTCTGAGGCAACCACACCACCTAAAGAGTTACAGTAACTACCAGAAGGTGGACAGTTATTCCATCAAGGAATTGAAGAAATGATAACAGGGTGTACCAGATGGCTTTATCTACGACCATGCTCATGCTCCGGGTAGACCATTCCAGCATCACACCAAAATTCCTCATTAAATAATTTACACTCTTAAAGTTACCATTTAAATATAAAAGGGGGGGGGGGAATGCAAACATCAATGAAGGACTCCTAGAGCACCTACAATTAATATTCTTAAGAACACCAACTTTTATCAAAAATGCTTTAAAATGTGTCAAGTGCTCAACTATTTGCCAGGTTGTTGCTACTCAGCACCCAAAAGGCAAACAATATAAACATATTTGCCCAAAGAGATAAAATTTTAGCTAACATCTTTTTCATTAGGAATTTAAAACAGTATTTTTGAGATGCCCTTTATTCAGGGCATTCTCTAAAGGATCTGTGAGCTAAAGGTGACAGATGTCTTATAAAGTGTGACACCCTTTATAAAGTAATGGAAAAATTAAAATGAATTAAGCACTGGCTAATAACAACAGTGATATAGAGCTTACTACGTGTTTTATATAGTAATTCATTAATCCTCACAGTACCCTATAAGTCCCATCTTTATCCTTGTTGTACAGTCAACTCGAGTAACTTGCAGAAATACGCTGGTATTTCTGTGGTAGAGATGAGAACCTGTGATTCCCAGGCGTGGCTGCACACTGGAATCACCTGGAGGGATCTTTAAAACTCCATCCCCACTCTGATTTAATTGGTATGGGTGCCCGGGGCATTCTAACCAAAGTTTGGGAATTGCTTTGTCTTTGCTCTTAAGCACTAGGTATTAGTAGTATTGCTGCAGTTCTATTATTCTCCTTCTCAAGAGTTTCTTTGCTGAGGCGTTAAACCTGGGACAAAGGTTGAGAGAAAAAGCAGAAGAGGAAGCGGTGGCAAGCCTTGCCAAGGGTAACCGAACCAGCTGAGACTGGACGCAGACGGCTCAGCCGGGGAAGGCTGCGGCGCCGGCGACCTCGGCCTGGGGAGGGGGCGGCGGGCCCACTCCAGCTGGGGCCGCAGCAGCACGGAGACCCGAGGGAGCAAGTGTCTCGGAGGCGATCGCGGGCGCCGAGGGAGCGCGGGGCCACAGTCCCGCGGGAAGGCGCGCTCCCTCTCACGTGACTCCCCCCTCCGGCCAGCCCATGCTGCCGGGATGGGGACCCGCGTACCCCCAGCGCAAGACGCTGCGTTCCCGACCGTCCCCGGCCCCCGGGGCGGGAGGCAGTCACAGCCAGTCTGATGGGACCTAAGTTACTTTGTGCCGCCCGGCCGACACCGGAAAGTTCGTTACTTTGCTCCGCGGGGCGGGGATGGGAAGCGCAGGACAGGACAGGACCCGGGTGCGGGGAGAGGAGCAGGACGGCGTCCCGGGCGGATACCCAGATCCTCGGCCTGGCCCAGCCCCCCGGCTCCCTTTCAGTCCCCACCGTATACCCACCCGGAGGTGAAATCCTGCTGCACGCTCAGCAGCCGCTCGCGCAAGGTCTCCAGCATCGCTGCCACAGTGTCTTCTCCCCTCAGGGCTCAGACCTGGCCCTCGTGCCCCCGCACCTGTCACCCGCGCGCCCCTCTCGCTCGCGGCCCGCCCCGCCCCCGGCCCGGCCCTCGCCCCTGCGCCGCAGCCTTTTCCGCGTTTCGCCCCCGCTCTCGCGCTCTCGCCCCGCCCCGCCCCAGCCGGCGCAGCCGCAGTGGGCCGCGCCCGGCTCCGGTTGCGGAAAAGGGGCGGCCCTTCTCTCCCAGTTGAAAAAGCCAGCGGATTCGATACCTTTCTCTAGCTCGTTCCAGGCCCTCTCGTTTTACTCTTTAAAATGAAAGTGGTATCGTGAGAGAATATTTTAAGTCGAGGGATCTTTTGAGTGCAGCGTTGGTTTTTACGGTTTGGAAGAGAGGCGGATAAATTCTTGCAAAGCGCGCACCTCCCTGTAGCAAATCATTTCATGGACTCTCGGTTGACCGCACTAGCGTTGACCTTCGATGAGGCAGTAAACCATTCTTAACTTCGGTTTCTTCATTTATAAAGTGGCAATAAGAACCAACTGTTCTGACATCCTAACTTTCCACTCTCTTCAACCTACCCCATCAGCTTTTGTGCCCTTCACACCAAAGAAGGTTGCCTTGTTGAGTCACTAATGAGCACACCATGTTGCCCACACTGTTTGCTACTTATCTGCCCAGATTTTTTTGTCGAGTTCTCAGTGGCTCTCAATGCAGTTCCCTATCGCATTCTTAAGACTTTCTTCTTTTGCCTTCAAGGAAACCATACTTCTACTCTTTCTTGTCTCCACACCTATTTCAACAGCTGCTCCCAACACTGCATCTCCAGCTTCCCGCTCTTCTCCACCTATGCCCTCTACCTGGGTCATTCTATCCATTACCTTGCTGTAAATTCTATCAAGGCACCAATGACTCCCAAATCTCTAGCTTCAGCCCTGTCCTCCCTCCCTCCTTCAATTCATACCAGTTGTTTACTCAGCATGTATCCAGTACATGCTGACACAACATACCCAAAATTGAAAATTTGATTGCATACTCACTTCCTAAACTCCTCATTTCCCAACCTTTTCCCTTTCAGTAAATGACATCACCACCCACCAAGTTACTCACGTTAAGCCACCTGAAATAACGCCCTGGTTCCTCTCCTTTCCTCATCCTCCAAATTAATCCATCAAATCCAATCAACTCTATTTCTAAAGTAACACTGGAACCTGCTCCCCTTTCTTTATCTTCACTGTAATCACTCTAGCCTAGTCCAAAGCACCACCATCTTTCACCAGGAACACTGACAGGTCTCCTGATTCTCCTCCTGATTCCACCCACACCCCTAAGCAGATGAAATTAATTTAAAAAGAGCAATCAGGTCACATTGCCCTCCTGCTTAAAATCACTCAATTGTTCCCAGTGCACTTAGAATAAAATTCAAACTCCTTACTTGGCTTACAAAGTCCTAAAATTTGAACCCTTCCTGATATTCTGTCCAAAGCAAGTACTACTCATCTATTGGGTCCTCGACATTTAAGCCATACCAACCTTTTGTGTGTGTCTGTTCCTTGCAAATTCTAGGTTTATTTCCACCCTGAGGCCGCTTCACAAGCTTTTCTCTGAACTGTCCTATGGCTGGTTCCTTCATGGCATTCAGGTCTGAGCTTAAGTATCTTCTCCTTAGATAGGTCTTCCCTGATCATTCAAGTTACCCACCCAACCACTTCCTATCACACAACCTGTTTCTCAACCTAGTATACATCACTATCTGATAATTGAATAATTCTTTTATTTTTATAAAGTTGTTTATTTAGTTACACATTTATTTTAAAATCAGTGTTGGGACTATGATAAAGCAGATAAGGCCAAAAATATAAAGGGGAACCCAAAAGTTCAGTAATCAAGATGAATTTTATATATATATATATATATATATATATATATATATATTTTTTTTTTTTAAGATTTT